TAATACTAGAGGTAGTAACTGTAATTTAATGGCGGCTGGTAACAATCATTCCGCCTTTGAGACTCCTCGTCAAACGGCAAAATTCAATCATCAGCAGTTTTCGCAAAACCATTGAACAAATTGAACTATCGAGGGCCCAGATATCAAAAGTAAACAAGAACCAGGATTAGTTTTCATGTGGAACTAAGTGTCTAGAACCTTGCAAAATCATTAACAAGTGCTTTAATCTAAATTTTGCAAACTCTGCAAATTAGCAAGCTTTTCGAAAGGAAAATACAAATGCTACTCCTTGAGCAAGGGAGGTCAAGTTTCAATGAAAAGATTTGATAAATCTTGAGCGTTTTAGAGAAAGTTTCCCATGAATCAAACAATTTTTTATTTCTTAAATTAATCAAGAAACTCTTACAACTTGCGTAATAGACCTTGCAATCAAAGCATGCAAAGCCGGTTTTGTTGACATAGTTTATTACGCTGTTTTTTTGACAGCAGTAATTGTCTTTATGATCTTCTTTTTTGCTCCAAGTTTTGCATTCACGACTTATTCATTTGTCTTAGTTGGAATTTCTAATTTGAAAAATTAGGTTTTAAAATACCAGTACTCATCGAAATGTTTTTCACATTTCGTCTTAGTTTTTTTTGTATTGATTAATCAAGAAAGTAGTTGTGATATCCATACTTAGTAATTTTAAGTGTTCTGTGATCACTTGTACCTCGCCCATTGCAAATAACTTTACTTATCATCGAAAGTGTTGTAATTAGTGATGGATATTGAATAAACAATAAAAACTTTTACAACTACTATTGTTTCTTTTGTTTATTGTCTTTCATTGCATGCAAATAAGTAAAAAAAATTTTGCGCTTTTAAAAGGGGCCTGGAAACTAGTCGGAATGTAGGCTATCTCTTTTACTATTCTTTGACTATGTAGGGTTGCCAAAAAGAAAAAAAATTCTGCGATTTTGAACAGAGTCTAGCCAGAAAACAAACATATCCTTTGAATTTTGATGGGACAAATCCGTTGCACAAGGCAAGATTTTTCCCGCCAAAAGACTTAGAATATTTTTGACTCAAAACCAGACACCATTCAAAAGCACAGACTTTTTTTCCTATGGACACTTTTCCCGCTAAAAGACTTAGATTTTTTTTCGACTTTGTTTTGGTTTCTTTTAAGAGCGCAGTATTTTAACAGAGAAAACTTTTCCCCCTAAAAGACACAGTATATTTTTGACTCAAAACCAGACACCATTCAAATGCACACACTTTCTTTCCTGAGGACAATTTTCCCGCCAAAAGACTTAGCTGTTTTCCGACTTTGTTTTGGTCCCCTTTAAGAGCGCAATCACCAAAAAATAATATCACGTAAAAGACTTACTAGTTTCTTTTTCCGGTCGCTTTAAAAGCGCAACTTTTTAATCCCAAGACAACTTTCGCGCCAATGGACTTAAATGATTTTATTTTTTTTGCTTGTAAAGAGCAAATTTTTATTTAAAGACACTTTTCCTGTTTTTTCCTCCTTTCTTGAGCTCCTCACGTTTTATTTCAACCTGAAAGAAAAAAGGTCAAAAGACATCTTAATGGTACAAGCTTCAGAGTGATTTGTACAGCTACAATAGACCGATTTCGATATATTAAAATTCAGCCTAACACAATAGACCTCAGCACGAGGCTCCGGGGAATAAACCACACAAACTCTGTAGTTATTCCCCAGAGCCTCTTACTGAGGTCTAAAGTTTTAGGCTGAATTTTGATATATCGAAATTGGTCTATTCGAGTTCTGTTTCTATTTGCATCTAGCCATATGCTATTCAGTCCCAAGGTTAAAATATCAATTCTCCTAACGCGTTTCATACATTCCTTTGATGAAAGTTGTATATCAAGACAATACAAGTATATTCTCTAAGATCATGCTTGTCCTTTATATAAGGACTGGCCGCTATGTACACCACTTTGATCAATCTCTGCAAGTTGCCTTACTTTTCCTTTCACAATTATTGTTCTGACAACTTGGTGATAAATGAAGACAATGTCTTTAAAAGAATCATTCATATACACTTGTACTAGTTGCCATTGTTACGTTAGCTTCATGAAACTGGCGACAGATAACCCCTTGATTAAAGATTTTTCTCCAAATGTATACTTTGTTGTTTGTAATCTGTGTGAAGTCTTTCCTTTCTTTTTTAGTGTATTTAATAACCTAACATTTGACATTTCTGGTACATTAGTAAACTGACTGTCCCTTTATTGTTTAAAAGGTGCTAGTTGAAATCTAAACTCGCGTGTAACTACCTGACAGCAGAGAATCCAACATTCTTGAAAAATAATCACGACTATTAGAATGCCCTTTTATCAGTAATAAACAAGAGAGAGTCATTTTTACATGCAGGTTATTTTCAACAGTCTTATGTCAAAAGCATAAAAACTGATCAAATTATTTTGAGCAGAAAATATAGAACAGTTGTTTTCATTCCCTCTAAGAATGGTGCCTACTATATACAAAGGTCTTTTGCCTGAAATAGAGCTATGAGAAAAAAAAAATGAAAAAGTAGAACTAGTGGAAATAGAAGATTCCAACAAGGGCTATAAGCCTATGGGATCGGAATCCCAGAAGAAAAGTGAAAAAAAACAAAAGTGGGGAACAAAAATGCTGACATCAACATTGTTTCTAAAAAGAAGAACAAAAATTTTTCTTCACAGATTTCCTTAGAATTCGCCTTTATGTACACAAAAGCAATAATGTTTATGAAAATCTTTAAAATGTATAGCAAGTGGTGACACAAAACCACCTTTCCTATGTAACTTTTAATAACAAAAAATAATCGTAACAACAGCAACATTAATCTCTCTCTGTTTAGCAAAAAATACAGTCTACAAAGCTCTTGCACACAACAAGTTAATCACATGTTCAATAGGCTTAAAAGTTGAACTAGTTGGTTTCATCTTTTTGAAATCGTT